ATAACAAATTTATTTTTTATTTTTTATTTAATAATATGAGTTTTATTAATGTGTAAATAAAACAATAAATTTTTTATTTTTTATTTAAATATACTTATAATATAATATTTTATTATATAAGTAATTTTTTATTTAAATATACTTATAATATTATATATAATTAATATTTGTCCGATTTTTTAAAAAATTAATATTATAATTTATATTTAAAAACTCAAGTTTTAACTTAAAATTTAAAATTTTAATTAAATTTTAAATTTAAATATCAATATTGAATAAAATAAAATTTTAAATTTTGAATTAAATTTTAATTAAATAAAACGACGTAATTTAAGGTTGGGACTCCAACTATTTTTAAAAGTCAGGACTAATATGCACTTTTCCCTTATATTTTTTGTGTAGGATAGAATTTAACTTTTAAAAATCACAACTTTAGAACTTAGAAGGTATTTGGTAAAGTTTAAAAAGCATTTGCATATAAAGCAAATTCTTTTTTTACAAAAATTTAAGAATTTTGTTGGAGGGAAAGTCAAAAATTGACTTTTAAAGTAACTTTTAAGTTTTAAAAAAGTTATTATTTGTGTAAGATATGATTTAACTTTTAAAAATCACAAATTTAGAACTTAGAGGGTATTTAACAAAGCTTAAAAAGCACTTGTTTATAAAGCAAATTCTTCTCTCACAAATTTAAAAATTTTGCTGGAAGGAAAGTTAAAAATTGACTTTTATAAGCAAGTTTTGAAAAAGTTACCACACCCAAGTTTTGTCTAAACTTACTTAAGAGGTACCTTTAAAAGTTAATTTTTGAATTTCCTTTCAAGAAAATTTTAAATTTGTGAGAGAAAAATTTACTTTTTAATTAAATATGTGCTTTTTAAATTTTGCCGAACACCCTATAAATCGCAATGTTACATAAAGTCAAAGGATGAATAAACGATGAAATTGAGAACCAAACTGTAGAATTATGAAATCTAAGAATTCAAAGTACAAAATCTAGAAAGTTGAAGACCAAAATGTAGTTTTATCATTAAAAAAAGAGTGGACATATGTCAGATGAGGATGTCGGACTTTTTTTTTTCTTTTGTTTGTCTATTTATATAATAAGAAATAAATTATAAACTTAATACTTTATAATTTCGAATGATATTAATGAAAAGTTAACTCAAATCCTATAATAAGAAAACTAAAACATATTGCACCTAGCCCTAGAGACCCAATGGCATTATAGCCATTGAATAGATGCATTTCCTTTCCCTTGGGCGGGTTTCAAACCCGCCCCATGTCAAAAATGTTAAAAAAAAAAAGAAGCAAACTTAAACATATTGAATCGTGTTTTCAGGCCTAAATGGTTCATCCCCAAGCTTTAAGGTGTTTGGGTTAATTGATTAAGGTTTCCAGCTCCACCAACGCCTTGAAAAATTCCTCCTCCTCTAAATTGTAAACTTGTAAATTGTTT